TAGCCGTTTCCTCAACTGCAGGAGCAGGTGGCTGCTGTTGACAGAGCTGGCGTGTACGTCTATCAGGATCAGCCACAAGGTGGAGGCCCGCTGCACAGAGTGTTTCCTTTCAGTTGTTGCTCGAAGAACAATTTCATCTTATTGTTCCGAGACAGTTTGCCTGTGTATTTCGTCCACATAGCTAACAGAACACTTTTCCACAGGGAAACTACAAGAATAGATTGGATTGACTCAAGATCTTTGAACGGCGCCGCTGTCTGCTTACGAAAGCAGCGAACCAACTTTCGAAGGGTTGAGTCCCAGCTCTGAACAGGGACATGGCTACAGTACTAGGAAGCAAGTCTGCGAACTTGCAATTCCAGTAGTCCTAGCGAATTAGTGCTGCCAGGGCCCATCGGCTTCTGCCGAGCAAAAGAAAATGGATATTGTGTGTAGTGATCTGATAATAAGTCCGGTTTTCGCGTGGTTTGGCAGTGTGCGCTGATAGCAGAACGCTTCTTACAGCACGACGCAGAGGTGTTCCTACTGCCGCACGGCTGGCAGTGGCAGCAAGCTCCGGCGCCTTGGAGGATGTCGAGGCTGACCTGGAGAGGATCATTGACGCTGAAGGTGGGTCAATGCATCCGGGGATTCAGCAAACCTTGCGATTCACGTGGGCACACTACTCTTCTACACACATGCCACTTGCCGATGTTGCTTGTTTGGCTGTTCGAGGAGACTTTCTGCACGAAGAGCCCGTTGCGGAGGGTTTGGCAATTGTGCATCTGCAAGCACCACCGAAAAAACGAAGACGGGTTGGAAAGGCAAGGTCAGGGCCCGGCTTGCGGAGTGTGTCGTGGTGTGGCTTCTTTGCCTAAACGCGGCAGATGTTGCGTCTCAACAGGTGCAAGATCTGGAGGCACTGCTGATGCCGGGGTGGAGCGCGGTGGTCCCCACGGAGGTTGAAGACGAGTTCACAGCTCGGCTGATGGTAAATCTCATGTGCAGCCCCTGTGCGTAAGGCTGGGTAAGGCTCGAGCACGGGCATCAAACTAGAAATTGTCGAACACGCTAAGGTGCAGAGTCAGCCGGGATCAGAAGTGCCGCCTCTACTCCGTGGATTGGGGTATGAAGCGCAGCAAGCCTGCAAGGCTGAGTTTGGGTGGGCAGGGCTTGCCTTCTGAGCCTGTCTATCAGAGCTTGCGGTGTAGGAAGCGTTGTAGCAGGCTGCAGCGTTGGGCGTCAGCCGGCGCTACTGGTTTCCCTACTTTTCTGGCCACCATCTTTGGGCGAGAATGCGGTAAGCTGCTGTACTCGCCGAAGGAGTTGTGCCAGAGCAGGTCTGCTGCACAGGTGACTTGGCCATTTGACCTAAAGGTCTTTTTCCCCAGACCAATCACCATGGCTCGGTTTTGCGTCCGGATGTCAGGTCCTGCAGCGTTGCGGCAGCGTGGAGACGGCGTATGCTCGCATGCCACTCCTTTTTACGCCGTCCGAGTTCGTCCCTCTTCCGGCCGGGCGTGTTTAAATGTAGTGCATCTACTGCAAAGCTTTTTGTACGCAGACATGCATACATATGTACACACACGACCATATATACATACATACAAACATACATACTCACATATCATGACCTTGCATTTGTCTTCGCGTTTTCATTACACCAAGACGCGACGATGGTTTGGCGTTGGTGCAGGCTGGCACAGAGGTGTGGGTGACGCCTGACATCTACAACTCGGAGGGCCAGAAAGTTACTGACGGGCATGCGCAGATTGGATATGAACTTGCCGAGGACCGTGCAATCGCTCCGCTCTTGGGGTCTGATGCTTCTTTCGAAGTGGTGCAGCTGATGCTAAGTTAGGATGGTGTCGTTGAACGCTGCTGTTGCTCTTTTCTCGTCTGGTTGCTCTGCGACGCTAGAACCGTTTCGCGGCTATACGTAACAAGAGCACGCCAGAGCCCGCAACTTTTCTTATCAGGAGCTTGGCCTACTGTACAATGCTCGCGATGGGCCGGACGGGCGATTGCTCTACCACCCGTGGCAATGTCGCTGCCTGGTCCGCGAGACGCTTTTTGACGAAGTGGTCCTCGGAAAGGGCATGTTGACAACCGTGGAGGGCGACGCGGACAAGCGGAGGTTGCTGGGAGTTCTGCAGCGCAGGTTGCATAGACTTGATATCTTATAGTATGTAGGCACTTGAGGTTAAGCGATTGGCAAAACATGTGACGTCAACTTACCTGGCAACTAACCATCGCCAGGCTTCGGCTCAGAGAGTCCTGCGTCAAGCTTTCCTGGCCCGAAAACCACGGCGACCTCTTTGCCGACAGCAAGCACTATGGTCTGGACCTGGTGCAGGCCCGGCTTGCAGATGGATCAACAACTGAGACCGTTACCTGCAGAGGATACTTCCCACACTATGTCACCACCGCGGCTGACGCCCCAAGTACTGGCATCCTTGCAGATGCGGGTCTGTTTATGCGAGGACGCGGAGGCAGCATGGCATGCAGCCGTCAGCGCTCACTTCGTCACATTCGTTTTACCTGCGTGGGTTGTTGTGGGTTACAAGCAGCTCAGGTTCGCTTCGCCCAGCGCAAGCTTCTGAACGAGATGGTGGCGCAATGCAAGAAAACCTTGAAGGACGGTGGAACAAAGCTGCCAAGTAATGAGCCCAGCGAACATGCAATTGGGGCTGTTGATTCCCTTACGTTGCCAAACATTCGTTGTAGTCCCAGCAGATTGGTAGATGCCGCTAACCTTATCTATGCTCGAGCGTGGCGGTGTCTGCTGCCTATAATAATATATGCCTCCGTGAGCAATGCCTATAGGTTGTAGGTTGGCCAGCTGGGCATTCAGTAGCCGCGGTATGTGTGTCCGAGTCTCTGAACGTGGTGGATGATCGCAGCGGACTTAGAGCGCAGACTTCCTTGTGACCTGGTCGTGCAAGGAGGAGATGCTGTCCGAAGCCTTTGGTTTGCCGAAGACACGGGCGTCTCCAAAACCGCCGCCAAGCCACCGTCAGGTTGGGCTGCACGTCGCGCGTACAAGGGAAGTATTTGACTGCCAGAGTGCGTCTTGCACAGCATGGAGAAACGTTGGTTGTGTCAGGCAGTTGCCTTCCCCCAGCCTTGCGCGCCGGTGTCGAACATTGATACGTGGGGAACAGCTCGGGTGCCGCAGCACAAAGTCAAGCTGGAGATGCAGGATTGTTGGTGCTTGTTTGCGCCAAGTTGCGCTTCATGTTGGTCTGGTGTCTCCTTCTCGTCCACTTTGATGCATCACTTTTTTGGGTATGCCATAGGATCACATTGAAGACCCGACTCCACTGGAAGAGCTGTTGCGACCCCAGACTGAGCCGAAACCATGGCAACTGCACAAGGGCGCTTTGGTGTGCAAGGAGACTTGCGTAAACGGCAACTGCGCATGGAACACAGCCATCTGAGATGATCAGCTCGCCTCAGGAACTCGCGACGCTCTCCTTCGCGGACGACGCCGCTACAACGGCAAAATCACGTCCTACAACTTAAAGCCGAAGCTCCCGCTGCCCGGCGCAGCTGCCACGGGATTCGCTTTGAGCGACATGTGGGGCACGCTGAAGGCGGGACAGCGTTAAACGGATACATGCATGGTTCCGATTGTAGACTAATTCAATATGCGTATGCACCGAGGAACCTGGGTGGAATGCTTTCCACGCAAAGCAACGTGATAGATTGATTGCGCGTCGCTGCAGAGCTAAGGCGAGAGAGTGCCACGTGATTGTCGATGGAGAAGTTTGGACCGGCCGATTTGCAGTGTGGCGCTATCCAGCAATGTTGGCCTCTGACATAGAGGTCTGGACAGCGACGCTTGGGCAGACCACAGCGAGACTTGTTGGCTCCTGTCGCTTGAATCTCCTTCAGCGTGAAGATGAGAATGTCATCTTATCGACGCAGGGTATGATTCTCAGGAAACCGCTTCCGAGTTGCGCGAAGTACATCCCCAACAACTGCATCATATGCAGCCGTGAAGGCGGAGGCACAGACGTCACAAGCTTGACCGCTCCCGCAACTTGTTATGCGGTGTGGCCTCTGTTATTATTGTCGCTGCGAGTCACTGCTAGCGCCGAATGCTGCCTCTAGTCCTAGGGCGCCGTGTCTGTTTTGTTTTTGAAACGCACAGGCGCAGTAAACCTGGGTGATGGAGACTACGATGGGGACGAGCTCATGATTTGTGGTTGGGACAAGCTGCTCGATTTCCTTGACAACACCCCATCCGAGCTTAGCGTCCCAGAGCTTCGGACGCTCGACCGAAATTGAAGTGGCTTGTAGAACAGAAACTGAAGGAGAACCATTTGTAGGGCCCTGTGCATCACAGTCGGCTGTTTTCGAGGCATACCACTTGCGTCTTGTTGTTTTGCGTCAAGGCGAGCGCGCCAAGAAATCCTGGAGTCGCTGCCTGACAAGCCTCCAGCTGCGCTTACTTCCGTAGGCCAGTACAGGGATTTCTGTTCTAGGGCGGACACTGCTCCTGTCCGGGGTAGGGCATGTGCAATGGCTGAAAGGGCCCAGCACGTTGCTTTTAAATCTCTTATTCCGGCCGGCGATGGCTCCTTGCTGCTGGCTGTTAGTCTGGCGCAAGTGGCTCACATGGCCTACGATGTCCCCAAGAAGTACAATGCCGAGGCTGTATTGGGACTTGGCGCCGCATTGCTATCAGATGCCGGCATTTCTCCGCGGGCCGAGCGGGCTTCCACAGAAATTGTGGAGTCGCTCCAGATGGGGTACGAAGACCCGGTCTCGCAGTTACCAGCGCCGGGCAATTTTCCTGGCAGACCGGTTACGGCTGGCATGGTCTGGATGCCCCGGAGAGAAGTCAAGCTCTCTGCCGAAGCAGGAGCTGCCTTGCGGGGAATTTTGCTCCGGCCACGCGGCCCATTTGATGGCCTCGAGGACGACGCAACGCGCGTTCCTCTGGAGGCGGTAGGGGGGCTTGTCGCCCACCGCTTGGTCAACTCCGTCGGCAACTTGAGAGATCATGCCGAGTCGGAGGACCCTGCTTTTCTTTTGTCCACTGTTCCCGAGGCCACTTTGCGCTGCAAGGAGATGGGAACGTGGAATCATCTTTTGAATTGTCAGCTGAGGTTTTAACGGTCTGAGCATCGACCGAAAAAGAGGAAGCGCGAGTGAGGGAGTCAGGGAGTGCGTTGAGACTTTCGACCATTCGACACACGTGCTCGCTCTACCGAGGTTTTCATATTCTCGCTGTATTTGCTATTCGGTCCTCGGACCTAGAGTATGTCTGATTGGGTTTGTGCTGGGGGGGTCTGGGTGGGACATTCTGGACGCTTCAACCTGCATCGGCTTGGCAATCGCACCACGATGATTTCATGATGAGTTTTACTTGAGACAATTTTCGTCAGTTGCCACTTTGGAGATTGACCTCCAGCTTGCAGATGGAGAACTTAGTTACGACCGCTGCAGTACTCTCAAGGAGTCGTAGTTTTGTGTAGTGACGGGGCTGGGAGACCGTTGGCGCCATGGTTGCGTGGTACCCAGTCTCAAGAATTTCTTGAAGATGTCCTTTACCTGGCAAGCTGTGGCCAATGTTGATCGGACTCTGTGCAATAGGTTGCAGCGCGCCTTCAAGGATCCTTGCACGTTGGCTATTGCTTGTTACGGTGCCGACAGCACGACTGAACTGGTAGAGGAAGCTCTTTAGGGACAATATCCTCCGGACAAGAGGAGACGCCTCGCAGCCGGCCTCCTCGACTGGAGTCGTCGTGTGGCACCCAAAGTGCGCAGCGAAGTTTCTTTTAGAGCTGGAGCGGTGAGTGAGTCTTCGCGTAATCCACAGGTAGGAGTGCGCATCTTGGAGCAGGCATTGCGGCAGCGAAAGCTAGGTACTGATGGCAGCCGGCAGGCCCGGGAAGAGCTGAGTCGCAAGAGATGGATCTCGGAACTGGCAGTGATAATCCGCGAGGCCGGGCTGCCTGCTGCATCCCGCATTGATTCTATGAGTAATCCTGAGACTTCCTGGGTTCGCGCCTTCGGGTCGCGCCGTGCAAAGACCCTCAAGAACAGGGCAATGGCTTGGAGGGAGCTTGGTGCGTGACTTCGGATCACATACGCCG